TTCCCATGCTCACTTTTTCTATATTTCAGTGTGGATGATTAATATTGTGCAATAAATGTGTGCTGTAGCGTTTGGCAATGTCTGCAAATGGCACAAAACACAACATTGAGAGGCAAAGTTAGGGCAGTCCCACCTGACTGGTTCTATCTCCCTTCCCTCAAATAGTCCAGCTTCCTCTCATCCTTATATTTCCTCTTCATTTACCCAGTGCCTTAGTCTTACTATTAAATGACTGTTATGGTCATCTCTTCTAATGTTCATTGTTAGGTGGCAGCTCCAAGGTGTAGTCACATTTTTTAAAGAACACGCTGGAAGGAGAAAAGGAAGTGACCTTGAAGCAGACACTATCATTTCCTCCAATCACGTGCAAGATGTTAATGATGATTTGAAAACCGCCTCTGAAGGTTTGCCAGTCATTGAAAGAGCTCCTTTTATACCCTTCCTACTCTTCAAAGCTTTTCCACATACAGATGACTCCCAAACAACCTGCAAGGCAGGTAGAGTAAGGTAAACCTGTCACCAGATAACCAAAGTCACAGAGAGGTTCAGTGGGCCTCCCAAGGTCACACAGCCTGGACAGCAGCAATCCTGGATCTGCAAGATCCCAAAATAAATCATTTTTCTTACCACAGAGGCAGTTCTCAAATTCCACCTCTGAGCACTAATGGCTGCATGGTACTTTCCATGAATGTCCCCCTATCTCTAATTACCTGCCTACCTCAGTCCAAGTGAATTCAGAATATAAGACCCAGCTTTTCCAGCTGACCTTCTCTAATATATAGCAGTGTAATGAGGGTTCTGACATTCTATCATATAATATTTCTGCTATAATTGTTTGGGGGTATTTTAAATGGTACTGTATTTGGGCCTCAGAATTGTACTAACCCTATACTACAGGTACACATTAAAAATCAAATACGGGGAAGTAGAAAGTCTAAATGGACCTAAAAAAAACACCCAAGCCTCCCAACTGGGAAATAAAAAAATCTTTTCAAGTACATCAGGTCCTTGAAGAATGTCATCTCGTTCAACATCATTTTATTATAAAGTTTATGAAATGCTGTGAGAACTTAACTCTTGTTTCTATCAATTAGCCTATAGGAAAATTGGTTTCCTTATTTATCATTTCACTTAAAGTAATAGAACCTATTGATGGTGTTAAGTTACATGCTATTCTGTATGCTCTAAGCCTTAAACTCTTTTGCTCTTAAACCACAGTTTCTGCTGTCCTATTGGGAACGTTGGCTCTTAGACACAGGAGAGGGGCATAGTGTGTTGGCAGTGAACCCTTCATGGAAGGTGTCATTTAGAAGAAGGTTCATTAGATTCATCATGGGGAGGGGGTCACACTGCTCTTTGGTAGCAGAGAGCCTGGAGAGCTTCCCTCATCACTTCAGCGTGAGATTCATAAAACTGCCCCTCAGATCACAGACCACTAAGTGTCCTGAAGACCCGTTTTCTGACTAACAGTTTGGAAAGTTCCCCAGTCATGTTTCTTATTCAAAACATGTCTGTCTGACAGCACTCGCTCATGCTGCTTTCCACGGAGCTGTTCCCGCTTGGACACTGCTACCAAATGGCACACTCTAGCTCTGCTGTCCATTCTCAAAGACGATCCAAGCTCTCCACTGCCTCCTCCAAATCCCTCTCCCTGTCATGTAAGACCCTTCATATCACAGCCCGAGGCGACCTTTCTACCTCTATGCTGACACTATCCAGTGTGCTTCACACAAACTCAAGTATTTCCTGTTCCTCACAAACACCCTAAACCAGTGATGGCGAACCTATGACACGCGTGTCAGAGGTGACACACGAACTCATTTTTTTTGGTTGATTTTTCTTTGTTAAATGGCATTTAAATATATAAAATAAATATCAAAAATATAAATCTTTGCTTTACTATAGTTGCAAATATCAAAAAATTTCTATATGTGACACGGCACCAGAGTTAAGTTAGGGTTTTTCAAAATGCTGACACGCCGAGCTCAAAAGGTTCGCCACCACTGCCCTAAACTGTCCTGCTACCCTGTTTGCCCAGTCACTTCTTTCACCTGGAGTACTCCGTCCTTTCTCTGCCTATCTGATTCCTACTCAGTATCAAAAGTCCAGCTCAAACACTTTCTTTGCTCCAAATGCAGTTATTTCTATGCAATTGGCCCTGGAACAACACAGGTTTGAACTGCATGGGTCCACTTATATGGGGACTTTTATTCAGTAAACGTTATTTTCCTTATAATTTTCTTAATAACATTTTATTTCTTCTAGCTTACTGTATTGTTAGAAGATAATATATAATTCATGTAACATACAAAACATGTTAATTGGGTGTTTGTTACCGATAAGGCTTCTGGTCAACAGTGGGCCATTAGCAGTTAAGTTTTAGGAGAGTCCAAAGTTATAGGTAGATTTTCAGTGCCCTTAACCCCCACGCTGTTCAAGGGCCAGCTGCACATGCCTTCACCCTCCTTTTAAATTGTGTTATACAGGACTTACTGCAACAAATTGGCTCCTGGTAGGTGCTGAATAAATTTGGTTGGGTAAGTGGCTAGATCTCACGTGTCCACACCACTGTTTCACGAGGCAGGAAGGTGCAATAGGGTCTCAATATCGGTTGGTAAATCAGTAGATCATTAGCGAGAGCACTGGCCTTTTTGCAGTTTGCTTTTTCCATCTGGTGTATTTTTCTCCACTTTGTGACCCAGGGCCTTAATCGTTTTGCCTCAGTTGAATGTACATATCCACCACATCAATGCAGAGTAAGAAAGTTTGGGTGTTGTTGTTTTTAGGATTCCTGAAGTTTTGAAGTAATAATAATACATTTTCTTCCTAGAAGATTTTGTCATTCTTACAAGGTTGTATGGTTTAGAAGGCGCTAAGGCAAACAGATCCTGAACAAAAAGTTCAGATCCCAAATGGAGGATAGAGGCCTGTCCACCTCAATTCCCAGAGCCCATCCATCCAGCGAGGCAATCTGAGTGAACAACTGCGCTTGTCGCTCCTCTGGAGAACTCCCTGATGACATGGGTTCCTGAAGTGTGACTGGAGATATGACCCAATGAAACCCAACCAGCCGGGTCACCGGGGCTGCTGAAGCATGAGTCTGCGTTTCTCAAGTCAGTGTAACAGAATCTGAGCCATGCAGAGCAGAGAGTGGGCCAGAGGCTATCTGGTAGCCAAGGGCACTGCGGGGGCTTTAGAATAACAGCGCGAGGCTGTAATCGGATGCCATCCCAGGACATTTAGCCAGTTAATCATCTCAATCACCCATTCGTTATTCATCAACACGAGAAACCAAGTTTTCTTTTGGCTGCCCTTTTGCCCTTTCAGGTTACACCAATATTACGCTGTCCTTACCTTTTCCTTGTGTCGCATAAAATGCACCTGGCATAGTAAAGCATCTTGTCACCATGGATGTCACTGTGAACACTGGCCTGGGACGGCCCAATCACTGTTGCTCCCGGAGCCAACACAAGCGCTGGCAGTTTAAGGGCAGGGCTTTCAGTAGTTCTTCAAACCTCATTAAGACTGTAAATCCACAGAGACGTGAGACCAACAGCCATGTAATCTGAGGCAGGAGAGGCCTTACAACCCTATAGCCCTTACTGTTGTCTCAATTATCCATTTTATTGCAGCCTTGGAGGAGAAGATTAAAGAGGGCAAGGTTTTTTGTGTCTTCAATGTTAAAAATTCTCAACAATAGCAAATCTATCAAACTAATCACATGAGGAGCCCAACCTCAGTGTGAGTCCTTCCACAAGGCCCGCACTGCCTCTTCAGGCTTTGTATCAAGGGGAGTAAAGACAAGGATTTTGGAGTCAGACTTCTGGGTCTGGCCCTCACTACTACATCGCCTTAACGATTCTCTCTGGGCCCGCTCCCTCATCTGTAAAGTGTGAATGGCAATAACAACACCAACCCACATGATTCCTGTGATAATTAATTACCTCATGGGAGGTCAGTAAATGTTAGCTCTTATTTGCACTGTCTTGAATTTAGCTATGATCCATTGTTTGGGGAGTTTTATGAGTCCTGGGAAAATATGACCTTTGTTCATCTGTAATAAGGGAGAAAGAACACATACTATATCTTTTTGTTTAATGTTCAAATCTCTACATCAGTGATTCTCAAAGTGTGGTCTGGGGACTCCTGCAGATCCCCAGCACCCTAGTCCTTAAATTGATATACATCACTGTATAAGTTTAAAACACACAGCATGATGGTTTGATTTATACAGATACAATAAAGAGGGGAAAAAATAAGAAAAAAGGGACAAATTTTTCTCCTTGTGATGAGAACTCTTAGGATTTACTCTCTTAACAACTTCCCTATATATCATACAGCACTGGCAGCTGTTGCAAAACCACCTTTGTAATACTGAAATGTTATTTGCCTTTTTCACTCTCATGAGTGTGGAGTGGAATTTTCCAGAGGCTACATGCTAGGTGATGATGTAATCACTTAATAGGTAGTGGAATGTGTGCTTGTATATTCTTCCTGTGGTGTTTGTTGTTGTTTTGTTTTTATTCCTCAACTCTTTCTAATGGAGTAAATAGCAATAGCTATAACCCACATAAACAAATCTCTTGGGGGTGCTCAATCATTTGTTTTGTTTTTATTTTTTTATTTCAGAAAGGAAGGGAAAGGGGGAGAGAGAAAAACATCAGTGATGAGAGAGAATCATTGATCGGCTGCCTCCTGCACGCCCCACACTGGGGATCGAGCCCGCCATGCCCTGACCTGGAATGGAACCGTGACCTCCTGGTTCATAGGTCCCCGCTCCAACACTGAGCCACGCGGGCTGGGCCAGTTTATAAGAGTTTAAAAAAGATCCCGTGGCCAAAAACTGAGACCCTCCGCTAGACTATTTCAAGTCAAAGGCACCCTCCAGACCACCTCCAAATCCCTAACGCAAAAATGCCAACGTGTCCTCCGCTTTGAGACTCTGCCCCCAGGACAGGCCCCAGAGGCACTCTGCCCACCTTTGCCCTCCTGTCTTTCAGGCTCTCTGGGTCCGACCTGCCGGGCGAGGAGTGGCTGGACTACGAGAAGCACGGCCATCGCCACTCCATGATCAGGAGGGTCAAACGGTTCCTGAGCGCCCACGAGCACCCGGGCAGCATGCGCGGCCGGCGCTATGCCCGGCAGGCCAGCGAGAGCTC